AAATAAACTCCTTGTTTTACCTAACTTATAGCGCTATAAGCGTACAATTGTCTTTGTGTTAAGCTTAAAACAATATCAGTTACAAATGTGGGTATCTTAAGCAGCAAATAACTGATTAGTTGAAGATATCGTATGTTTATATCCAGATATTTCACAATTTTGTGATAAAACTGATAAATACTGCATCATTAATATGCCTCCTCAGAAAAATAATAACAAAAGCGTAAATGATTTATTGAAAAAAATAAAGAGAACGGGAGGAATAAGAAGAAAGTGTTCACGAGAGTATGAAAAGATAAAAAATAGTATCTGTGCAGTAATAGAAAAGGGTTTGACATTGTTTGGCCCGGGTCAAGTGCGACCAATACAGTTGAAGAGGGTTCTGTACACGATGATTGTGCATCACCATCAGGATTAGTGATTCAAACAAATAGACCGGGTCCAACTTTAGGTGCAGATAACGAGAGTTATATGCGTGACAAGTTTGCGTATCAATCACAATTTTATAGTGATTCAAGTTCTACAGATTTGGAAGAAAACTCAGAATTTAATAAAAAATATTATTATTATCGTGCGTATCAGTTCTGTTCAACATTTGAGATAATTCTTCCTCAGCTTTCCTCAGGTTTTTGCAAAGTAGCTCGCCTTTTTTTTGGCCAGTATAATATTCCTTTGTTTTCCCTAGAAGCGGGCACTGTTGATAATTCAACTCGGCCTTTTTTACAAGTCGAAATGATTTTGAACATGTTTCTGAAAAAAATATATAACATTTTCTATAACACTTCAAAAATACTACAACAACACTATTATAAATACTAACATTATATAATAAATCTCGATGTTTACGTTTGAATCTTACTTATTGACTACATGAGCGCAACAAGTGTATATAAAGTAGGTACCTACATTAGTATAGGTCCCATCAACCTCAAATATTCATGGATTTATTTTATATAAAAAGGAACCCTAAAAAGCTGAATTAGAGTATACTGCATTATGTTATTTAAGACCTTTCTCTGAGAAATATATAATTATTGTGCTTTAAACCAAATAATTTCTGGATATGTAGTCGTATGTGAACTATTATGCAGAAATAAGCAAAATAATCTCTGAAATAGACACTTTTATTCAAATAGGCCATCCGCCATTAACTAATGTTCGACATAACCTCTTCTTATAAAAACCCTCAACATTTATCTTATGAAACACTTTGTTTAGTGAGTAGGAAACATTAGCAGTTATACAAAATTTGATTCTCATTATTTTCTGGGACTGAAATTTGATAAAAAGTAAAGATAATTTAATTTAAATATTATTTCACATTTGTTTACCTTTTAATTTGTAGCTTTATCTGAAGGCGCTCAAAAAATGTATAATAATCATATTGATAATTCACAGTAAAGTGCCATGCGTTTATATAATTCACCTTAAACTTACTTCAAATGTATGAAACAATTTGCTTATCAAATTTTTGAAGTCGTGAAGTAGCGACCATTAATATATTTTGAAGTAAGTTACACAAAATAATCTCGTCACAATGAAAAATATATTTATACTTTTTTTTACTTGCATAATTTCTTTGTAAAACTTCCCCTGAGTTCGGAATTGTGAATATCATTTGAATATCTGAATTCACAAATAAACAACTGCATAAGAGATGTATAATTTCTGGACTAAAGAAAAAACAGAATTTATGCAGAAGATATTCAGTGTGTTGTACATTTATTCATCTGCTATGTAGCTACTAATCAAATGTTATCCAAATTGAAGCAAGATATTTTGTGCCCAAATTGCTTGAATATCATCTGTATAAGCGCTTACACAGAAGTTATACAAATACTTTATCCAGCTTAAAGTCAAAAGAATTGCTTTTACGCAAAATTTATTCAGCTAATCTGTGTTGGCTGGGAACGTACTAGGTAGTTGTCGTAGCTGTTTTTTTTTTTAAATCAAAACTAATTCGATAATACTTCCGTCCATCTATCCAAAGACTGATAAATTTATTGTAATTTAAAAGATTTTAGCGTACAGACAGTAGTAAGCACCTTTGTTTTATAACATGTATAGATTCTTAGAAATATTATTGATAATTTCCAAGCTCGTATGACGTCACCGGGTATCATATGTTCAACAACCACTACTTTTGCAATAAAACCTTTCCAATGATTACTGTCGGACTAATAAGGTCCAGTGAGTCAATTTTGAAACAATAGTGAAATTAGTATTAAATCGTAAAAGAATGGGTGCTAAAATCGTTAATTTTATATTTGTTTGTTCGTCTGTTTCAACACACGCGCAATACACTTAAAACTTGCGAATCTTCTTGCATTGAAACTATTTATTTCATGACATGGTAAGTCAGAGTTTTTTTTTTCTAAAATTGTGGACTTGATGAATGACTTCAAAAGGTTTTTATCAAATTTTTCATCAGATATTGTCGAATACGCCAGTAGTTAGCAAATTAAATTTAAACTGTGGAGAGAGGGGTACAATCTTCCAAATACCATCAACGACGGTATTAACTGAGTGGAAGCCGTCGTTAACTCTAGTCCATTAAGTCCTCTGTCCTTAGACCCACACGACCTATATTCTCTCACTATATTCTATATTCACACTTTTCTATTTTCTACTTGGCCGTCCACTTACAGCGCCTGTAACCACGAATGTACACACCAGTTCATCAACAAGAGTGGAACAGCTACGCCTATACTTCTGGTCAAGATCAAATGGAAGGAAAACGTGAACAACTTGAAGCTAGATACGTTAATTATGGTAAAAAATGTCAATTTACCCACATTAAAATGGCAAATGGGATTTATTGAAAGGATAATATCTGGCAACGATGGCATCGTGAGGGTGGTAGATATTCGCACAAGATACAGTCTTCAGATGCGCTGCTACCAAGATCTGTCCTCTCTTTTGGGACCAGATGACGACAACGACGCCATCTGCAACACTTTCGAATGCTGATGCTTTCAAGGATGGGGGCATGTTTGAGAACCTTTAGCGCCATCTGTTGTGCAAGGCTGATGTCAATCATCACGTGTAGCCAACTTCACACACATCGGGTTACGTGGAACCAATCAGCGACGTCCTTCATCGCGTTATACGATTTATGAAGCATTAATCGCTGAAGCATACTGAAGTTCTTTACATTTGCTAAAAAAAATTACATTTTTGAAAATTGAAACGAGGAGACTTTTTTGTACTACTTGCAAGGAGACCACGATTAAACCTAACATATTGAAGACCAAGGAGGATTTTATTTATTTTCATAAGTCCTACGGTTTACCTTTTTTTTAATATTTATTTCAGCAGCTTCGGTCGGTCTTTTTGTGTTAAATAGACCATTTATCGAGGAAGGCTTTAGGCTATATAACATCACGCTGCAACTATTAGGAGCAAAGAAATAACGGAAAATGCGGACGAAGTCGCTGGCGGCCACTAGTTCATAATATAAATTATAAGAATAAACTATTAAAAATAGGAACATATGAGTAATTAAAACAAGAAGGCATAATTTTACATAAACTTTTATATGTTTATTATACTTTATATTTGTACATCTCACAAGAATGATAAAATACAGATCTAAGTCATAACCATTACTAGCAAAACAATGTAACTTTGTACACAATTCTAGTTTCTATTGCAATTTATAACTATTTACATATAAATTGTCTATGACATGCTTCTTAACGACATACATGAACAACAATAGGCAAACTAATCAACTAGGTATAGCTACATATTTATAAATATGCATATTATTACAAGTGGCCAAATCCTTCTATGTATTTTACTAGACAAGCTGTTCTAACTAAAATTGTCACACAATACTAGCGCGCATATTGTCACAGTACGAGCGCGCGCGCATGTTGCCTTCTCGCAAGTAAGCGAGTAATAATAATAATAATGTTTTGGTGATTTCTTGTATTTTCACACGCACTACTCATTAAAAACAACTTTAATTGGTTTCAGCGTTTTTATATTGGCTTTCATAAAGATTTGGACCCTTTACAGGTTCCGTTTTCACTTAAGACTAATGTGTCGAATGTATTTTTTATACCTATAATAAGAGTATAGCTACCTTCAAAACAATATTACATATTCATAATAGAAAAAATAATATTTTATGAAAATGTTTTCATTTATTAAATTAAAATTATAGAAGAAATATATAGGTACATTAATTAATATCCGAAATCAAATCTAAATGTGCTGAAACCATTTAAAATTGTCTAATTTAAGGTTAATGTTTATTTATTTCTCCGCATATTACCCATTGTTGATATAAGACTCTAGTAACGAGTTATATAACTATAGTTTAAAAAGAAACTGTTAGCAATTATGAAACAAATTAAAATTATTTATAACAAATGTGTGTGTGTGTTTGTGTGTGTGTGTGTGTGTGTGTGTGAGTGTGTGTGTGTGTGTGTGTGTGTGTGTGTGTGTTTTAGTGTGTGTGTTAGTGTGTGTGTGTGTGTGTGTGTGTGTGTGAGAGAGAAAGAGACTGTGCGTGTGTGTATATACAATACAGTCGACTAATTTTCCAGTACCGAATAGCTTGCTTAGTATCCATAGAAGTAATTAATTGCACAAGTGGTACGTACATTCTGTAGTATTTATAATAAATATTATAAGTTTTTTATTATTAATAATGTGATCTGACACCCTTTTTGTAACCTTTAGGATCAGGTGGTCTAAAGTGTGAATTAGTCTCTGATTAAATCAGTAATATTGTCCGTTGTATAAGAAAAAAAAAATATTTTATTAGTAAATGTCGGACATTTTGCTCCCATGACGTCATACTCTATAAATACAGTCGCCTAATATGGTCTACTGTTTTTGACCGCTTGGGTCCTAGAACCCATCCGAAATAGGTATGAATTACATTCCGCCGTTCTTTCATCTTACTTCTGAGCAGTCAGTAAGGGACTGTACGTAAGTATTGTAATTGGCTTTTTAATAATCAAATGCGCCTTATTATGTATAATCAAATGCGGCGACATTACCTAAATTTATAAATCACGCACTTTTTGTTATGACACTTAGTTAACTACCTGATCACATACTGCACTGATACACAGATATATATCAACCTGATCACAAAAGCTTCAGACTACGAAATATATTAAAATATATAATTAACATAAAATCAATTATTTTAGGCCGCCAATCCCAATAATATACTATATTATTGCTTGTTGAACAAGACACGAAAGTTGCAGATGGATTGACCTGATTAATTTTGAAACGAACAGTCAACTTCAGCAGGTATTGTTGAACCATCCATAACGTTGTTTCAAATCATAACTAACTATATTTTGAACATGACTGTACATGGAACAAGTTGTAACAGTCTTTCTACATTATGTGAGCAATATATTTATAATGATACACTAGAAATATTTAATACCTATTCAAACCCATAAAGAAAAACTTTGATATATATATAACAATATATATTAACTGAAAAATTACCGTGCATTTATTAGCTAAGAACAATCAAAAGTATTTTATTTATAATTATGGAATGATAATTACAGTTTAACTTAATAAAACTAAGCGGCCATTGCGTTCCCTGTCGTTATAAGATTTGTGTAAAAAACCTTTCCACATAAAAAATTAGAAAAAAATCCCAAACGCCATTAAAATGGCGCCATTAAATTTATATCTGTCAAATGTTGAAAAACTATTGATACCAAATTTTTAAATAGTACTAAGCCAAATATGGCCATACTTTTTCATGAATGGCCATATTTACCGACACATAAAATTTGTAATTTAATTTCTTACTTTCACTACATATAAAATTACCGTCCAATCTATTCATTCTTTTAAATATTTATCAAGTCCGCACATATCGCATCTATGAAACGGAACGGCCGTACAAGAAAGAAGTGGCAGAAACACATTTCTCTGTCGTATTATGCCATTAGCATCGCGCGCCAAAAACATATCAGTATCATATATATAGTATGATTAAAAACATTTTTATGTGTGTCGCGTCAGAAACACCCGTTTCATTCTAACATATGCAACAACTCGCGACAGCAACAAAACTACACAACACGACACAAATATGTGCCAAACTAATGATTATCTTATAATTAAAAGCTTTTCTCAACAATTAAATTACTTAAAAGATGCCTGACAAATAAGACTGACTGAATTTTTATGTTTACATAAAATCTATAACGTTAGTTTAATGGCAGCCTGATTAATTAAGTAACATGCACAGTTAATAAACTCAATAACAATATGTATAACGTGATGAAGATTTTTTAAAAAGATTTAAATATATTAGTTAACTCTTAATGTTAATTAAACATACAAAACACAATGATGTATGTACTCAGTCATAATAGGCAACTGATATGCTAGTTCTAAATCATTAAGTATATTTTATGTAAGTGTTGTGCTTCAAATCATTTTCACAATGCTGACACCAAACTATAACTAAATAGGTACATGTCTTCAAAATTGTACCCAGTTTTGCTGGTTGGCTGGTGCTGCCGGTTTCTGGCTTGTAGTGCTAAAACAGTATAAAAATGAGAAAATTATACTATATTCTGAGTATGAGAGAGTAAGGTAAAACTTTTTTCATAAGTACTCATCCTATCTATAATATATTAATATTATAAATGTGAAAGTTTTTTTTGTTTGGATGTTTGTCCGTCAGTCACGCCGAAACTACTGAACGGATTTTGATGAAATTTGGTATACAGATAAGGGTATTAGCTGACTTAGATAATAGGATACTTTTTATCCCACGAAACATTTCCCTAGGTACCATGCGGGCGAAACCACTGGCGAAAGATAACGTGTCTAAAATTATACTTATGTCTTAGTACAATTATGACTTTTATCTTCTGTTAACAAAATTATAGTAGAATATCAATAGTTATGCATCAAATTGTTACTATTTTTATATGTATAAACATAAAATAAAATTTTATATGTATAAACATAAAATAAAACACAATTTCAAATTCATGTCATCGAATTCCAGTTGACCTATCAGAAACGCATTCTGTCTATAACCACTCTGTAATAGTGAATATATATGAAAATTATTAATAAAGAGCACTTAAAAAATGTATATCATTCTATTTTCAAATTCTTTGTTTGTTTCATGATATCATAATTTGTATATTTTTCTTAAGTAACTTCCAGACTTAATATTACTAGGTTTGCCAGCAACTTCACCCTCTTGGTTTTGTATTATACATATAAACCTTCATCTTGAATCACTCTGTATATTTATGAAAACTGCATTAAAATCCCTTATGTTATTTAACAGATCTCATTGGGAAGTGACATCATTTTATACTATGTATAGTATAGATACTAAAATTACCTGGCAGAGTTAAAATCACCCCATTCTGAGTTAGCTCCTTGAGGAGGAACAGCTGTAGATGGTGAGGGAGCATGTTGTGGAGAGGGTGGTGGTGGAAGCCGTGATCCACCAGGAGGTGGAGGCAGCAATCCGCCTACAACGCCCGCGCCTACACCACGCCGTGGCCGACTTGTTTCATTACCATCTTTTTTCTGGAAATATCATTTATGAATCAAATTCGATTCACATCATATTAAAGGTCGCTGACTCCACCCCATGCAACATTATATAGTGCTATGTGGAAAACAATATAAAGGTAGTAAAATTAATCATTTTTTGTTCATTGTTCTGAAATGAAACCAAATCAAAACCTAAGCAGACAAGTGTAAAATTGTTCTGCAGTTTTGTAAACAAATTTTATAGATTCCTATAAACTGTATGTATATTATCAAACTTTCGAGCCTATTAGGTTTGTAAATCAAGGGGGAAGAGATTGAACAATTTTCATCTATTTTCTCATATAAATGCTAAACTGTTATCTAAAAATATATTTAATATTTCAATACCTATATGTAACAGAGTGTATTTTTTTATTCTAATTCCTAATTCTAAACTTTAATATATATAACAATTTCAATTAAATTTGTCCAGAAACATACCAACAAAACACATGAATTATCACTTCAGATGGTACAAATTCTCAAGCAAATATCTCTCAAAAATGCCATATCGTTGAAGCATTGTGTATTGAATAGCTTGGTGGGGTAGTGAATAAATGCAACAACATGGTTGTTAAGCAAATAAAAAATTAAATTATCTCAAACTATTCTATGCTCTGAAGGCACATTAAGCCATTGGTCCTGGCTCATTTGCAGTCATTAATACCCTCCAATCTGCATTGGGCCAGTGTGGTGGGTCATGACCTATCCTCCTTGGCCTAAGCCCCTGCAGTGGGGTCATAAATGGGCTGATGATGGAGCTTTGTGACATTGCATTTAAAAAGAATTTATTAAAAAGTCCTATTATAGATTCCCAAAAAGATTAACTTTGTTTGTTAATATAATGTATAGTTTAGCCAATTATGTACTTAGACACTATTACTTCTATAATCTTACAGTGATCTTCATATTAATCTTAATAGTTTCGCCTTCCTTGAAACCCAGGTCTAGTTGTTGAGATGGAGGTTGATCACCCTCCTGCTCCTTTCGCAGCCACTTAAAATGATCTTGCAAAGCAACATTAAGGTCAAACGAATCAGACCTATCACCAAATCCCAGACCAATATAAGCAGTTCGTCCTAAAAAACATATTCACTGTATTTGTAAATGAACACCACACCAAATCAAACCAAATTTAGGAAAATAGCAAAACTTTATAGTCACTTGATTTTGAACAACACAGTCCATAGATAAGAAAAATAATTTTATACTTAAATATTTATTTCTCATGAGATAACTAAATAATAATTTTATGTCACACCATTATCATCTTGAATTCTCACTACAAAATAACGCGAACTGTCAGTCACAGCCTCTAATGCCACTCCAGGATATTTATCAATGGGACATTTCGCGAACAATTCTCCTGATGTTTTATCTTCCAATTTCATTATTAGTTCCTCCCCCTTGGAAACAAGCCTCATGCGACCTGTCCATTGAGGCTCCTGCAAATTCCAGTCAGCAGCCCTGAAAAACGCCTACTTTTAACATCTTATACCTGACAATGACCACGTATCTTTATACATAATCCCATCCACAACTTACCTATACCCTCTATTAGATGTTTTTGGAGGGATTTTGAAAACGAAAACTTCGTTCTTTACAAGCAAAACGCTCTCGTACGTTTCCATTTCTAACACCTAGTATTTGTCAATTAAACCAACAATTTTATGGCAAAACTAAAAACACAAAGTAAAACGTATTCTTCTTTTTTTTAATTCATGGTCTATTCGCGTTTACACAATTCCGTCAATGTCACGTTTGAGGTTTTTACACGTAAAGAAACAGTAATAAAATATGTCAATTTTGAATTTTGGGGTAATAGATAAAACAATAAAAAAAGGCTCTGAGTGCGTCTATCTGATTACATCGTTAAAGATAATACAAAAAGAATGTATATAGATAACAAAGATATTTATAAATTGAAACTTAGATAAAATTTTGAATGGGCTGAGTTTCTCCACACTCAAGATACATTTTATATTTGTTGGACGAGGAACTTTTTATGGAAGCAAATCAGGGAAATGGATAAATTAGGATAATTAAATAAAATATAACCCGTAGTTCCTGCCTCAATGCCACAATCGCAGAGGGTAACCCCCTCTGCGATCTTTAATGAGGAAGTATTTAAAATAAAAATTAATTCTTGCAATAAAACTATATAGATATCACTCGCGATGTTTGAATATTGTCTATGATATTCATTCAATTTTGTTTCTGACATAATAAAAGTAAATTGAGTATCAAAAAATAATTATTATGACATCTTTTCGTGTTTCATAATAATATAATATCTATCTTTCAAATTAATTTTAATTTATTTGAATCGTAAGTTTAAGTTATTTATTATTTTACGTGTAAAGGAACGCTGTTTGGTTTATATGTCAACATTAATGACGAGCCAACATATTGATTGCTCATATCTTCAATTGACTCGATTCATTCGAATACAAGTTTGGAATCCAGAACAAAAAGCAGAGCGCAGAATTCTGCTTGTCTTTTTAATATGCAATATATCCACATGTACTATTACGCATCCGCACGTCGAATTATATTATAGAAATATCAAAATCTATTCAGTCTAGCCAGTTACGTATTACTTGTGAAAATCTAAATCTTTGCCAACGGTTCGCAGAACTAATACTGTATATTGTACTGAGCTTGTAAACTTAGAAGCGAGCGTGGGACCTTATCATATGATTTATAAGTTTCCAAAGCTTATCCAAATAGCACCATTTTTAAACGACGACGATAACTAAAAAGGCAGTTCTCAGTTTGTATGGTAAAAAATAACACTAAAAACGTTTTTTTAAATAAAAACGACCTCAAATCTCACACTTTGTTTTATGGGAATATCAATTGAATATAGTATTGATTCACCCGCTCATCGTATGCTATAGCATATATTATCGTTTGTATCGAACATCCATAATGCTAATTCTACTGTCAATATATCCATAATAGAAAATGAAGGAACTTATGATGTGCCGATTCGATTATTAAACACATCGATTCGATATAGTATTACTCGTAATCGATTAATAATCGATCCATGACAATGATTATTAAATATTTTTACCCTAAAAGTTTATAGATTTCAGATTAATTACACCGCATTTTAAAGCCATCCAAGTTAATGAAAAATAGTTAAAAATCAATTTTAAGACAATGTTTACTATACCAGCATTATACATTCAACATTTATAGAGTTAAACTAGTTTTACCCGCAATTTCGTCCACGTGGAAAGTAGCCTTAGTAATTCTTTATTGCATAAGCTATCTGCTCGTCAAAATTAGTCTAACCGTTTCAGAGTTTCGCCGGAACAAACAGACAGACAAAAAATGTAAAAAATATTATTTTGGTATAGGTATGTGCCGTGTATACTTACATGTGCATTTAGTAAAAAACGGTTAATTTGTATTTGTTAAAATAAAACTGTAAGATCCGTTCATTCATTCATCAGGAGTTCCCCGACCAAAGAGTAAAGTTACCTGCTTGTTCGTGGGAGTATTCCAGGATTGCCATATTAAGTATTAGAATATCTACTAATAATATTCATACCCGCGATCCGCTAGCGGTTGCTGATCCATCGAAATAAAGTGAGTAGGTACTATACTTACGTTTTAAACTATTCCTATGCTAACGTTTAAAGAAATAATCGATGGTTAATCATCAATTATGAAATAATTATCGTTGCAACTGATTATTTGAAAATTCGATTATTGGTAATCGATTCCGCACACCATTAAAAAACACTGTCAATTTGTCACTGACAGATACTGCAATTTTTTTTTTCGGGTTAAGTAAATAGTTTGTTGCAAAATATTCTTGAATTTAGGTAATATTTGCTACATAATGAATCCATAAACTTATTTCAATTATTGTTGTAGTATGTCTCAAACGTAAATAATAATTCTCATTTCAATCACAATAATTTATAGTAGGCTGCTTAATTCTTTAAATACATGGCAATTGTAATAATTAATAGTTTCAATAAATATATTCATAATTTAGTTTAGTTACCATAATATTCAAATACATTTACAACTTTATTATTTGTATACAAAATCAAATCAATTTCTATATGGTTTCAGATTTGTGCTGTTAGAGAATTATGGCTTACAATGTGAGTATAAACAACATATTATGTATTTATATATTTTAATTACAAACTTATGTGTTTAGATTTTAATATTGCGGTACCTGTTTACTTAAAATATTCAACAATTATGGAATAATAGCACCATCACAAATGTTTTAAGTCATGAATATGTGTGTACATTATGTTCAATTTTATTATTAATGGTATTATAACAATTCATATAAAGAATAATTAAAATTAAATTAGGAAAAACATTTTATGGTGAAAGTGTTAAGTTCTATATGAGTAGGTACTTTTTACCAATTTATGAAGTTTGAAACTCAGATTTACCAAATTGTGTCATCAATCCATCTAAGTCTGTTTTTTTTTATTGTTCTTATTTTTTTTATAAATAAGACGAAATAAACCTACAAGTACCTTTGAAGAAAAATTGTACAGTTATGAAATTGAATATTAAGGTAATTTTAATTCTAATATAATAGATATTTAATTATTGAATGTGAATAGTACTATTTCTAATTTAGTAAAATTATAATCAATAATCGTAATCCATGGCTGAGCTTTGGACCACCATTTAACTTTACCAGACTATATTAAATTAATTTTTGCATTACACTGTATATATAATTAACATTTTATAATTACCTATATGAATTGGAAAACTTGAATCGATAAAATCATGGGAAGGGTGGGGGAGGTTTTTTTATTGTTTAGCAGTGTCATCAGATTAAATATTTTCAGGTATACACCTTTTCTTTATAAACGCAGAGAAAATGCCTAATGCATCAAATATTCAGCGGGTCTACTGTATAACTGACACCGGGATTGATCTGTCAAAATAAAGTCCTTTATGTTATGCAAACAAATCAACTGTCAGTTGACAAATCACAATCAATTAATCCAACCAATAATTTCCATTTACCAATATTAACCCCATATTTGTGCAATTTTTTTTCTTTTGCTTGATTGTCCAATACCCCTGCAAATCATCTGTCAGTAAGTGTAACTTAAGGTCCGTCCAACCACACAACCAACGCAAACTACTTGTAGACAGTAATTGAAATATTCTCTTTTACCAAGCTTAAGATTTTGATCCACTATGTAGCTAGAAATAATATTTCTATTTCAAGTATTGAGTTTTTTACATCTATAAAATCTCTATAAACTATGTAATCCAAAATAGCGGCACTATTTGATCTAATCAATACATCGATCATTAAAAAATATTAATAAAATAATTACCTCATTTAAACAAAGTGATTAAAAAAGTTGAAGTTATCACTTTATCTAGCTTCTATATAATAATATCAAATAGGATTTGGATAAAGTAATAAGTAAGAGTAAAATAATATTAAATATTTAACAAATCATAAAGAATCGAAGCTTTTGAATGCATAAAATCAGGTTATGTTACTGATATGTTAGATAACATTAAATTACAATTAATTTAACAGAGTTCAGTTAGACAGAAATGGTTAGGTTAGGTTAGAACTGTAAGCATAACACTAATATTAGTAGTAGTTAACAATGAGGTGGTACATAGCATGTAATTTTATATAAAAGTAAAAGTTAGAACCATTCCATAATAACAAATATTTGTCATAACAAATATTCAGCGCTTGACGGCGAAAATGGGGTATGTAGGCGGAAACTGCATGCCTAGGCTTGTGCTTCTCATGATACATTATTTATACAATTAGATAGATGGCGCACGCACCGCCATTAGCACAGAACCTAGCACAAATAACAACTTTCTATCATAAACTAGCTAAACCGGCGAACCTCGTACCGCTATCTCCTTTCCCGCTTTTTTATATTTTTTTATTTAATAAACAAACCTTGTCCTGGCAATAAGGATCAAAAAAATTCATCTAATTTGGTGCAGTTCGAAATTTTTATATATATAGATTTACTATTATTTATATTCAAAGTGCCATCTAGTATCACGACACAAACTTAAAATATTAAGTCGGTGTCGCCGCCAAGTGGTACAATCTGCCGATCAATTTGGCGACTAGCCCTTTAATTGAATGGCGCCATTCAATTTCATCAAAGGGCAAGCCGCCTCATGAGGAAGTATTTAAAAAAAGAAAAAGTTCCCGAAATCAAACTAGAGGTCGCTACGGTACGTTCTTGATTTTTCTCCATGACAACCTTTCCGGTTTTCTACCAAGTTTAAAAATAAATTAGTTTTCAAAACTCAGTTAAAAGGAACGGAAATGACTGTCTTTTCGTCCATTCGTTTCCTGCAAAAATCAACCTTTGCTAGAGTCGCCATCTAGTGGAGGTGTTTTTTAGTGCTTTCTTTTTTTAAATACTTCCTCATTGATCGGCTGATTATACCACTTGTCTGCGACATCGAGATAACTGTGGAAAATTACCATATTTTTCTTTGATTTATAAAATTGCCGTTTGAAACTCATTATCATAAAAATATCCGATTAAATATATAACGATACGATAGGAAATAACTAAAATGATTATGGATTTTTAACCTTATTTTCTTAGGAAAACACTTGAATATCTGATTTTGGGGAAATTTGGACATTACTTCTGACATCCCTGATTCTGTCGTAAAATAAAGAAAATGGCGTCCAAGTCAAGCGCAACAAACATGTCGAGTTGTTTTTCGTGTTTACTGTCGTTCTCGTTGTTATAATGTATTATTTATGTGCAGTGCAGTTTACAAAAGTGAATCTTGAAATAAACTTTATAAGTGGATTTATTCTAAATCCAGAATTATGTAAGAGCAAAGACGCATAACTTGGTTCTTTTTATCAATGACTTTGGCTGCAATACAAATGAATAAAAATGGGAGAATCGTACTTGTTGTTCCTTCTTGCAATCGTAATAGTACGAGCTTCTGTTGATAATGAAAGCTTTGAATGCCCTTTAAAATGTGATTGTTTGAAGAAATATGTGGATTGTTCAAGGAAGAATCTCATATCTGTGCCAAAAATTCCTAAATGGGTGGAACAACTAGATCTCAGTAACAATCGATTGAAAGAAAATGTTACTGATAGTTTCAGTAAATTAACTAACTTAAAAGAACTAAAGTTAGAAAAGAATTTGTTACATCATATACCTAAAATTCTAAAACTTAACCAAATACAGGAACTTAGCCTTTATAGAAATAGTATTTTTTCAATAAATTCGGGATGTTTCCCAACAAATAGTTCTATTCGTATCCTTAATTTGAATAGCAATCACATTAAGTTTATAGAAAATGGAGCTTTGAACAATTTATCTAATTTAGAAGTTCTAAAATTGAACAGAAATGAGATCACATCTCTCCCTAATCATTTATTTATGAACCAAACAAATCTCAAGACATTGGAACTTAATCATAACAAATTAAATATTATTTATGGCTTGCTTTTTCAAGGATTGTCAAATTTAACCACATTGAAACTTAAATACAATAATATAGAAGAAATTATGGATGGTGCATTTTTTGGATTTAAATCTGTGAACTTGCTGCAGTTGGATCATAATAAAATTAGAAGTATTTCTAAAGGATGGATGTATGGACTTGAATCTTTGACCACTTTATCTATGTCAAATAATTTTGTTAAAGAAATCGATTCTGGTAGTTGGGAGCTGTGTGCAAATTTAAAAGTACTCAATTTATCACATAATAATTTATTGGAAATAGAAGGCCGCACTTTTCAGCATTTGAAAAATTTGGAAATTCTCAACTTAAATTACAATAATATTTCTTCAATTTCCCAGGAAGCCTTCAGTCACATGGTACAATTAAAAACACTGCTTTTGAATAATAATAAAATATCATGGACTGTAGAAGATATGTCTGGTCCCTTCTCTAAGTTATATAACTTGATGATTTTTAATTTAGCAGCCAACCATATAAAATCAATAAATTCAAGAGCTTTTGAAGGTTTATCTAACTTAATAGAATTGGATCTTACAGGCAATAACATTACCTCAATACAGCAGCATGCCTTTGATTCATTGCCTAAATTAAGGAAACTCCACTTAAATTCATCATCACTGTTATGCGATTGTAACATTATCTGGATTGTAAAATGGATGAAAGATAAAATTGATCACAAATATGTTAGTGCTACCTGTGCTTATCCCGCTGAAGTCAGAGGCCAACCAATTACAAGACTCAAAGAAGAAAATTGTGGTGATTCACCTAAACCAAAAGTTGTGGAACATCCTAAAACTCATCTTGCCATCAGAGGAAGATCTGCTAATTTAATTTGTTCTGCTACATCTAATCCCTTCAGTAATATGACTTTTCTGTGGAGAAAGAATAATGGGAACATTAGCAATCCCACAGTATATGAGAATGTATCGTTAGCAATTGGTGGCCCATCTCGGGCAACATCTGTTTTAGTTATTCCAAATGTGACTCATGCAGACTCTGGAAAATATCAGTGTGTAGTAAGTAACAACTTTGGTACTACATATTCATCTAAGGCAAAAGTAAATATTGTCACATTCCCAAAATTTATTAAAACACCCACTAATGTGACAGTAAAGACTGGAGAGACTGTGACTTTGAATTGTGCAGCTTCGGGGGAACCAACCCCTGAAATTTCTTGGAAAAAAGATGGAGGTAATGATTTCCCAGCAGCTAGAGAAAGAAGAATGAATGTAATGCCAACTGACCATCTTTTCTTTATTGTAAATGCTAAGACATCAGATATGGGTATTTACAGTTGTGCAGCTAAGAATCCTGCAGGAACAATAATAGCAAATGCCACATTGACAGTATTACAGGAGCCATCATTTGTGCATGTTATGGAGAATAAAGAAGTGACTAGTGGAGATTCAGTGGTTTTACAATGCATGATATCAGGTTCACCCAAACCAGTTATAAAATGGTTAAAAGATGGTACTACTATAATGCGCACAGAACGGCACTTCTTAACAGCTGAAGATCAGCTGTTAGTTATTATTGGTACACAAGCTAGTGATGCAGGGCGATATGAATGTGAGATTACAAATGATTTAGGAACAAAAAAAGATATGACAGAGCTGCGTGTTTTGCCTCCTGTGGCAATTATGGTGAATGAAGAAGATATGACTGGAATAATAATAATAACAGTAGTGTGTTGTGCTGTGGGGACATCTATAGTGTGGGTAGTGATAATATACCATACTCGTAGACGTATGGCGGGTTCTGTACATACCCGTACGAACTATCCCACCGAAAGTATGAAAATGACACAAGTAATGCATAGTGATAGTGAATCACCACAAATGTACCCAGATAATATATCTGAACATTCATCTTGTAAAGACAGTGGTACTGGTGATTCCGCTAAGCAGAACAGTTTTGATGGTGTACCTGTTGAGAGAAATGACCAGATTAATTTCGAGACTGTTGTCTGTCGGAGTTATTCTCCTGTGCCAGAAGCACATAAACTACTACCTTCTTCTTTTAAACCGTCTATTCAAGTTTGTGTAAATAATTCTGTAACCCCAGCTACTTACAGTTTTTCTAGTCACAGTGATAATGTTTAGATATTAACAAGATAATATTGGTTTCCTTAAAGTAATTTAATTTTAATTATTTACCAATGCACTTTCACTTAATACATCTTAACACAAACTATTTTTTTTTTAATAGATGGTGTAATAAAACTGTAGACGAGCCAGAACAGTAACATTGGTTTTGTAATTTAATTTTAATAAAGTATTAGGTGTATTTAGTGAAAAAAGCATTGTCATTAGGCAGCTATGAACTTGTTTGCTCTAGTACAAAATGTAACTAACTTGCCAGTATTGGTTTTGATATAAGACTGAATGTCATTTAAGTATAATTCTTGTTAATTTTTGTAGTTATAAATAATCCTTAGTTTGTGTATGAAACAGAGTTTAACAACCAGATGACAAAAAGGAAATATTCACATCCAATATTCAAAAAAATATTTAACTTGACTCCATCTTGTAATAATACTGGGAAAGTAGAGACTACATTCCTCCACATATATGGACAGAAATACCTGCAATATGTGGAACCCTCCCTTATATAAGTTCAATTCATACTGCCAGTTTTAATGCTATAACTGGATATCACTTTGACCATATGACAAGCATAAAATATTTATTAAGTAGGTAGCCATTTATATTTTGCTGCTATTATTATGTATTTTGCTATTTTTTTTTTGTTTACACCGTTTGTGAGATATCAATGCTGCTGGAAGAGTGATTTCTGTTTCAGCAACTGGTTGCAAAAGGATTTTTTCCCTTGATCAACTGATTGTAAAACTCAATTGCCTACATGACCAGAGGTGTAATAGTAGATAACCTATATAATAGGAGATTTGTACATACAATTTTAAATTATTTTCTTTTTATACATCAAAAGCTACTGGATTTAATAGAATTATTGTGTCGTATGTCAAACCAATTTTTGAAGTGTAAATCTTGATTATTATTATAGTTTCTTTAAAGTGCACATACAGATGTTATTTGCTATAAAACGAAGTAGTTTAAATATGGTATGGAAACAATTTGTTAACTACACTGGACCCGCTATAATCCGAACCCTTTTCTAATCCAACACACCTATCACTATTCAGCCCTGGGTCTATACTCTATGGTCAGAAACTTAATAGCCCTCTTCATATTTTAGAAGAAGTAGAAGTTTATGATTTTATTTCATTTGGGGACTATAAAAACATGTCCATCCCATCCTACCGTAATGTGCATGAGTTTTAAAAGACATTTTTGTGGATATTTGGCGCCCCACCCACACTAACGTTCGGACAAATACTTGTATTTGCCCCCCCCCCCCCCCCAACCCTATACCGGCCCTGTCACTGTTTAATGCCCATGACAATTTCGTTAAAACTTCACAGTTCCCGTTATTTTTACGGGCATCGTTTCAGTGTTTTGCCTAGGGCACCAAGTTTTATTGAGCCGGCGCTGATTAGGGGTACAGTGGGATTTAGGTAGTTATTAATAATACGACATAGCTCTGCAAAACTTTTGTCGGATTATCCTGGTTCCACCGTACTGTTACAATTGAGTTACAACATACTATAAACATTGTATATTCTAATAAATAATAAGATTTTTGTACTATGTATTAGTTTGTGTATTAAGATAAAAATACTTGTCATCAAAGTGATTAGGTAAGACAAACAATCTAAGAGCTATTATCATACCCCATTTTACTGGTATAACCAGAGATGGACAAAATGTATAAAATTCTTATGAAACATTTAAATTTTTTTCGTTATCATTATCAAGAAAAAAATGTATTAAACACATTGATTCTTATGATATCGCTACTATACCAGAAGGTTCTTGACCAATTTTTGTCAATGTACCAGTTATTTTACTGCTATCTATTGAAATAATATTTTTTCTTGAACCTAGAATAAACTTATTACATTTTGCCTATATCCGGTTATAACTATAGGTTACTGGAAATATGTTAGTAAGTATAAAAACTATAAAATACTTGACAATAACGTAAGTGTCATGGTGATAAAGTACTTTTTAGAATAACGAGAAACCCTAGAGAATATTAGTCGAGAAGACATACTCCGCACTTTAATTTACGTGTAGCATGACGGCTGAGACTCAAGTCGACATACAGTTGGAAGTACTCACGACAATCGTGGACATCGAATTAAGATTATGCATTAATATTTTTCGAGTTTCATGCTCATATGACAATATTTCACTCTCTACCCGAGAAACATGACATCTGTAGATATAGAAATCTTGCTGTAGACGATTCTTGAGTTGGTCATGCATTTTACATGTGCTACGGCTCTACCACGTAACTACACTGGTAATATAATGTCCAGCAAACAGCTTGATGCAGTTTTGACGGAGACGGAGGGGGGGCTATCCATGGAAGTGAGCATTGAAAATAGAAACGAGTCTACTAATTAATGCACGCCTCTATCTCGCCACCCCCATACCTCATCCCAATACCTTCATAAACGCGTTTTTGCGCAATCTCCACCCGATTTCAAGGTAATCGCCGGCTACTCTATGTTGTTTATCGGATTTCATTTCATGACACATCAAGTGGTAGAGCTTCGTTAGAAGCAAATGAGGCATTGCCATTTGCTGTGCCATATACTGAAATACCGGAAACTGACTTACATTCTCAAACCTTAACACATCGAGGGTAGAGTTGAAAGTCGAATACGTAAATTTGACATATTCTGGTAGGCTGAGGTGATGATGTACGTGTAGTTACTCGGTTGAGCCGCTGGCCCCACGTGCCTGTGTGGTTCAACATTAATTAAAAATTATTCCAAAACCCTTCTATAGAGTTGTAATGTAACTCTTATCGAGATCAATTGTTTTTGCTGTTTCCATCAACCTCCGTACAGAGAATTAACACATTTTCAATACAAGAAGTTAATTTGACGACCTAGATACTCCATAATACACGGGGGGCTTTAGCTACTCATCTTGTAATCTGAGGTGTGCATGTGATGTCGTCTAATATTTATTTATTTATTTGTACTCGATACTAATTCGACTCGAACTATGTTTTCTCGAACTAGGGGTAACAGATGGTAATCTTACATTGTGCATAAATTATTGTATTATGGATTGCGTCATGAGTTTCAATTATATTCTAGTAAAAAAATGTTTTAGGCAGAAATATAGATATATAAATGTAGAATGTTAAAGATTAAAACGCACGTTTTAAGTACAAAAACTAATTTTAATACCAGCTAAAATATTAAATAAAAAACAACATATAGAGGACGCTTCCAAAATTTTTTTAATTCAATGTATTGTTAAATAAAAACGGTGAATTTTGTAAACATAATAATCAGTCAAACGTTTCCAATACATTAAAAATATTATTTTTTATTTCTTTATTCAACTAACTAGTTGCTTCACTCAAATTCCCAACTAATTTTCCTAACCAAATATGTGTAAATACGAAATTTTATATTTATATATGCCCAATGATATAAAGAGTCAAAGCAACTTAGATTAAAATATGCAATTATATGTGAAATTACAGAAGTGAACTGATATACAAAAGTAAATGTTCATCCAAAAATTATGATTGTTTCGTTCGTAATTTTTGGCAGCTATTTAGGGTGTGATTTCCTATTGGGTATTATAATTAATTATATTTAAAGTTAATGTCTGTTTTTATATTTTATAAATAGAGGCGTCTATTAGACGGCAGATGCAGTGCGACGTAAATTCGATAGCTGCTCAATGGTTGTCATTACTTTTTAATGAAATTAACCCTGTGATTACCTTATGCCGGAAGTATTAAATATATTGAATTCTAAAATGCTCGTCATAATATAAACAATTGTTTCACAGTTATGATTTCAACAGCAAAATAAATATCGCTACCACACTTCTGATATTTTAAAACCAATGTTTTAAGTAAAAAATAATATTAAAAAAAACCTGTCTAATTGATGCCTTACTCCAACGTGTCTTGTAATATAATTAATATATAAGCAAGCATTTATTTGCGCAACGTTAGCGAGATACTAACATTTACGATTTTACATTGTTTATAACATTAATGTATAGATATTGTGTAAGTTAACTAAGTATTTATACTTTATAGAATAAATTTATCCAAACATTTGACGCTTGTTTTAATTTGAAAATGGAAGAAACACAACAAATGATATATTTTTATGTAATATTATTGCATACAACTATTTGGAAGTTAGTCATTTTTAGTGTATATACGCGAACTTTTCAAGACGAAATCAATATGCCCATTAATGTGATATAGACAGAATGGCATATAGCGCGACAAGCACGAATTACTTTAATTAATTACTCGCAAACTTTTACGATTATTCTACAAGTTGTTTTACGACTATCACGGTGAATCCATACAAAACTTTTGTATTGTCCTAAAAAAATGTCAACGTCAACACGTCGACCAAAATCGTTTATTTCTGTCAATATCCATTATGAGTGAATGGGTGTAAAAATTTATTGATATTATTAATACTCAACGTTACACATTAGAATGTATCGTTCTCCAAGGTAACGAAAATAATAGAATCTGCTAATAATCTAAATGCAAGTTGGTAACTATACATAGTCATACTTCATAGTGTTTGATACTCTTTCATGTCTGGCTACTTTTAATTCTAAGCCTGACTACTTTTTATCCCACTAAACAGTTCCTAGGGACTACACTGGCGAAGCCGTTGGTGGAAAGCTAGTTATAATAACAACTAACAACAAATGAATTGATCCTTTCAGCAAGGATATGGACAACCAGGGTATGGAAGTCAGGCCGGTTATGGAGTTCAACCACAAGGTGGAGGTCTTGAAATGGGCCACGGTCCATATCCATCAATCGGAGCCGGTGGCACTGTTTCCCCACAAGTTCAGCAATGGTTCCGTGCAGTGGACAAGGATCAGTCCGGATACATAACTGCTTCAGAGTTAAAAGCAGCGCTAGTGAACGCTCAGGGTCAAACTTTTTCAGAAACAGCATGCAATTTAATGATTGGTAAGTATAGTATCAGGTGCCAGGCTATTTCAATTAAATTTCTAAGATAAATATGTAGTAAGTTTCATAACAATGCAGTTTCCTAAAAATAATGGACAGATGTAAGTTCAAAAACGAACTTATGTAATCTGTTTGGTAGGCAAATTTCCAACTTACCTATCAAACAGGACCATCTGAAAAAGTTGTAGTAATATAATTATTGAGACCTTAAACCTAACCACATTTTGAATTAATAATTTTTATTAGCAAGGTATTAAATTGTAGTCTCATGTCGTTTAACAACTTATGTCGCAGGTATATGATAAAAAATATAACAGCAGGTATATTCTATTACTTAACATGGATTCGGATTCTGAAATATATATAATCTGTTAAACTTAATACCTATATTTTTTTTATTCCAGGTATGTTCGATAAGGACCGTTCAGGACACATAAATCTTGAAGAGTTCGATAAACTGTATACGTATATAAATCAATGGTTAGCAGTCTTTAAAACATACGATACAGATCAATCTGGTCATATCGATGAACCAGAGCTTTCTAAAGGTTAGTACCTATTTACCTATATCCATGTATTCTTTGTTGATACTTACTACAAGGTTTGTTTTTTTTTTTTTCTGATATCAGGAATCATTTACAATTCGTTTTAGTTTACGTTCGATCGTAAACGTGAAAGTTTTGTATGGAATCAAAAAGCGCCATCTAGTGACATACTTACGAAATTAAATGATTAACTATCTATAGAAAAAATATTGATATTTTTCAGGTCTCTGCTTTTTAAGTTCAAATTTTTTATTTATTTCAAATAATTATATTAAACGTAAGGCATTTGCTGAATAGTTTTAATCTGTCATCGTTATCATCATCCTTTAATATTCCTGTTGTTTGGGCTCAGACCTTTGTCATAATGGAATTACCTACATAGGGTAAATGGATCATTAATAACCCTTCACGCTAGTGGCTGACTAACCCTAACGGAGGCTCGGTGCGACATCAGCCTTACGATTTAGTAAAAATCCAAAACCGAATTCGTATTCAATCAGGTGCCCGAATTAACTTCAAAAAGCGGCATTAGTGGATGCCGAAGTTAGTTGAAACGTTTACTTTTGAAATTTTTTACGTTTCATTTTTTTTTTCTTTCTTTATTTACTTATTACGTCAGACGTTATTATTTATTTATTTACGTTTAATTGAAATCTTGAAACGTTTTGTGGAGAGAAAGAGTTTCGAAATGATGTAGGAGTAAAATATCTGAGACGCGTATATTCTATACAAGTATATTTTTTTTTGTATTTTTAAATAAAAAATGGAATCAATATAATTTCTATACTAAATGACTTGAATTCGGACACGAGTTAATTCGAATTCTGCCCTGCGATTCTGTAAAAATCCAGACCCGATTTCGAACTCAAAAAAATTTATTGTACTTTTATAAAAAAAAAATATATATATATATGTGTCTCAGATATTCTATCACATTGTCATTTTGAAACTGACTTTACTTATGCCACGAAACATTACCTAATCGCAGGGCAGGGCAACTATATTACGTTTGTAAACTACTGTGCTGTGCTTTTTTAAATATGGGGCCTCTAACCCCAATTTAAAATTTCACCAAGGGAACTTCCATGCATTTGGAGGCCCCCCAGGACTTGAAGTACGGGGCGGACCGCCCCCTCACCCCGCCCCTATGTCTGCCACTGCTTCACGCGACTCGAGAACGGATTGGTGGGTTTTAACGATTGCAGATATAGCCGTGATCAAGTTTTATCATGCTTTTCCGGGTATGGAAATCGTAAGATATTTTTTGGTCAACCATCCCATTACCGTCCATATGATATACCTTCGCATCAGAAATTGCAATTTGAGATTTGAGTTAATTTGCAGTTGTAGGTAGTTAAAGATAGATAAGCAGTTTATAAGAAAATAAAACGTGGTATTCTCGTTGCGGTCGTCTTGTAATTTAGCAGCTGCAAACTCCAAGCGAAATACAATCAGCCCAATCAGCCAATCTTATATACAAACATAGTTGTAACCCGCTGCAGTCACTTCATTAATTGAAGTGAAAAGCTGTGAGATGCACTTTCAACCAAGTTAATGAAAATAACCGTTAAAAAACTAGATACACTGGTGATATGCTGGAAACGTATTAACTTCCGAATTGGAATAGATATTCACTTCATCACTAGTGAACGCTTTTAAAACCCATATTCGCAAGTATGTCACTATATAACGATTTTTTTTATACAATACAAAACATAAACGCGTTCACGATCGAACGTGAAGCTTAAGGTAAACAATATTTAAGAATAATATGTTGTTTACCTTGTAATTCTCATTTTTGTTCAATTTACCTTCGTTATCACACTACTTTATTTTCTCATTATATTATTTTTGGCTTTTTTTTTCTATTGTACTACTGGCACACTACCTCCGGTTTTTCCATCCAAATGTTACACAAATCAAAGGTTGTCTGGAAGAGATCGCTTTTAGCGATAAGACCGCCTTTGCCCACCCTAGCATTAGTACCTGTATTGTTAATCTATTATTAATAATTATGTGTGAGCAATAAAGTGTATATCTATCTATCGATCATAGTCCGGTCTCAAATCAGAAAACTTCTTACTATCACCCAATATCACTTTCACTCGTGCGCAAACTTTACTCTTGCGCTCGCACAGATTCATCTAGCCAATTTTGTCATAGTCAAATGAACCTGAAATGTTTACGATATCTATCAGTAGGCACAAATTTCATTTTCTCCGTTTGGCGTCTGGTCTATACTCTATGATATTACATTGAATTCACACTTGGTCTTTACATTATAATTAATAAAAAATTTTGTTTTTAGCTCTGACTCAAATGGGATTTCGGTTCTCACCAGATTTCATCAGCTTTTTAATCAAAAGAGCGGATTCGAAAGAAGGAAAAATATCGGTTGACCAATTTATCGTTTTATGTGTACAAATCCAACGTTTTACTGAAGCTTTCAGAGTGAGGGATACTCAACAAAATGGAACTGTCACAATCGCATTCGAAGATTTTCTTAACGTAGCTCTTAGTTGCTCTATTTGAAAATGGTTAAAAAAATTGCGTTTAACTATTGACACAAATGCCAGTTTTGCATTGAAGACAATTATATGAATATATAAATAAAGCAGAGACAAACACTCAAGCATTCCATAATATTGTTAGTTAAAGGCAGACAGGTCAATATAATTTGTCAATAAAAAAAAACCCGCTGAAGTTATTTCATACTGTAGGTCAGCCAACAGCAGCTTTTACTTTAATATTTTTAAATATGAATATCATTCAGTTTGCTCAATCACATTATAGTATAAGTACTCAACTATAGTTCGATTTCGCGATTTCCGCAGGTTGCCCACCCCTGCTCTAGGAAAGCAAAGCATCAGTTTTAATCGCAAAACAAAATAGAATTATCTCTGTTCAAATCTCTCTCCCGTCGACATATAATGGTGGTAGGTTCAAATCGGACACTTTTCTTTGAACGAATGCTATTTGCCAGCAGTTAACATTTTCACATTACCATACAAATATAAATAATGTCTATTATATTTTATAAGTTTGCAATGTGTGAACATTTTTTTACCCCACAGTTTAAGATATTTTTATATTTTTCTTCTTTATTTCCGATGTAAATTTATGTATTCCGATGTAATATACTTTTTTCCATCTATATGTGTAACCTAAGGTACGTAGAAGGTAATTATTTGTGACCTATGAGCAATAAAAGTGATCCATTCATTACAGGATACTGGCAAATCCATAAGGAAATTGTACCTAGTAGTTAGATTAATTTATATCTTATATTTGGAATAGCATATTGTTTCATGACTATCCTAATATATTACAGTTAAAAATTAGTTTTTTAATAGAACGCGATTTCTTATTAGAGCTATTTTTAACTAAATGCCTTCGTTAAAACTAGAATTAAAGAATGCCAAAAAATGTATATCAGTTATCAAGTAGTTCTGAAACTGTTTAAAGAACATTACGTATTTATTTTTGACAATCAATAGATGGCGCTAATATGATGTTAGATTCTGATGCACAATACCATCCAATAATAATGATTTACTGATCGCATAATGATTCGATCCATACCACCGACGGATATACCCAAAATATATAACCATGACAATAAAAAAATGAGAATACGATTTAGGTTCTGACATCATACAATGTGTCAATTAATAATAATATTTTACCCAAAAGGGAAGTCACAATGTACATAAATCAGTTGTAGTAAGTAATATTAATAATATTAATGTCGGATAAAGTAATGGCTATAATTAAAAGCTGTTCATGTTTGAATTTTATGGAAATATTTTTTATATTATAATTAATAAAATCAGCTTCTGCAATTGACACATTTTTTTATTTTCTTTTTGCACTTTACAGTTAATATCAAACCATTCTTCTATAAGCAACCACTTAGAACTCCAGTGACATATCTGCAACACAATAGTTTTGTTTAAAGACAGATAAAACATTACCATCTGGAAAAGTATGTCTATGATATACACAAGTATATACTAAACGTATATAAAAACAGTGCACAGCATGTCCACAGTCAGTTTTTTCTTAAATAAAATGGATACTTATAAAGTTTTACTATCATTTAGTAGACATTTAAACCGCGATTTTACCAATATTGGGTGCAATCTATAATCCTTTTTTAAGATTGAAAGTGTATACTATACTTTGCACTTTTTTTACTGAGCACTAAGTATATAGTGATTGTGCCATAATTGACAATTTAAGAGGAAGGTTTATATTCATAATACAGGACCACACTGGCGAAGCCGCTGGCAGAAAGTTAGTATTATAATTATTACTCACTTGCATCGGCTTTTCTTCTCATTGCCTCTGCTTTCTCTAACGAAAATACAACTTCCTGAAATATTTTCACAGACGTTTTCATATTATTTTGATGTTCCGTACTATCGGCAGTGCTGTCATCAAGCAAAGATTGTATAGTAGGTACATCGCTCAATTTCATTTTTCTAGCATTGGTAGGTTTGAATACAACTGACACTTTCCCAGTCTTAGGATGTATGCTAAATGGTGATTTCAGCAAATGATTGAATCCCTTTGTAACATTTACATCTAAACGAGGATAGCAATACTGAACTTTGATTTCCTCAACTAGATACTTAATTTTTCTAACAGCAAATCCATTCTGTAAAAATAATAACATAAGTATTTATTCAAATGTTTTATAATAGTCCTTAACACGAGATTGTTTTTACTGGTTTGAGTAAAGACTGTAATATAACGGCAGTTTATTGTAAGTAATCAACCATGGTCCCGGTTGCCAAATTGGTTAATTTTAATTGTATTTTCTTCAAGTGATTAAAACCTTAAAATAATCTATTGTTCAAGCCATTACAGTACAGTTAAACGAAAATATGTTTGAAGTAATAATGAAAGAAAAGTCTTTAATTAAAAATATATTTTTATTTTGTTAAACATTTTTTAATTTGATTATCCTTGTTTTGGAATGAACAATTTTTTTTTGTGATTTATGTATAATCCCATTCACTGGAAGAAGTATACTAAATTATATCAATCCAGCAACTGGGACCGCAATTTGTGTTTATGTGGTCCCAGTCACTGGCAACTTCATGTAAATGAACAATTAATACATGATACATACTTCTCTGCAATAAGTCTCATAAAGGGAAATAAAATTTCTCCATCTTTCTAATGATGATTCAGGTAATTTCTCCAATTTTTTTTCTGTTTGAGAACGCAAATTGTCGTCGGGTATTTGTTTTAAAAAAGCTTTCAGTCCATCATTTGTTGAAAAAAATTCTTGATCTTGCAAAATTTCTTCAAAATATTTATCAATTATATCCAATGCCCGCCTATAATTACACAATAAATTTTAATAAAAATTATGAATAATTGTTAAATTAAATAGGTAGTTAAGAAATGGACGTTATACATATTTGTTTTAAATTGTCACAATCATTAATATTATAATAAGTTAGTTATGCGATTCCATAACTATTCTCTCCATGTTTATGACATATGCAACAGAATATTAGAACTCAATTAAAAAGAACTATTATATCATTAAAAATTATTTAGATTTGATCAGATCAGTATTACTTTTAAAGTTAACCAGGTATATTATATATTTTCTTGCAAAGGGCGGTCTTAACCTCTTCAGTGCTTTAGAAGGCACGTTGAACTGTTGGTCTTGGCTTTATATGCTGTATTAAACACCAACCAGCGCAGTGGGGACATATAAGCTAATCATGATACATGAAATTCTTTAATTATTATAACTAAATCGGTACAGACCTGATGCTTGTATGCAAATTATCATTTCCTAAATTAACTTTTTTGTTCTGATTGTCACCACCCATTATCAAACAAAGATAATCAGCAACGGCTCCTCTGCCTGGACTGTCGAGTACTCTAGCTTCATAGTCTGAAACCCAACAGTGGATACCGCGTCTTCCAGAAAAAACCCATAAGATGTTCTGGAAGCCAAAGTCATCTGAGAAGCAATGATAAAATAAATTATTAAGATTGAAACTATAGCGTTACTACGTGTATAATACAATCTAATATAGAATTAATGCAAAAAATTATCAAGAAATAAATAAAATACCCTTTATAAAAGACTTTTTCTATTCAATATTTTTGTATAGATATTTAATATTTTAGTGTTGCCTATTATATAAAAATATCAATATCACTAAAAAGCATGAAATAATAACTTAAAAAAAAAAACTTGAAAATATGGGCATCTATCATCTAATTAATAACCTCCGCCCAACTTATTTTTAAATTTACAGGTGGCTCTATTTTTTTCGAAAAAATATTTTTGTACTTTAGGACTTGTTCTTAATTAAATAACTGTCAATTATAGTTTCAGTAGAGAAAATTGTCAGATGTACCTAAAAATTTTTATAAAAAAATATTTTATTTATTTATGTGTTATATTATTTTCATTTCACTTTTTGTTCAATGTGAAAATTTTTGTGACTGACAGCAAAAATTTTATTGTGTTTATAATGTTACCAGTAACTATAGATAATTATCAAAAAAATATATTATCCTGATAATTACAAACCCTGCCCACTGCTCTACTACCATGCTCAACAGGCAATTGCTAAATGTAAATACAACTTTGATGTGACAGCATCCTCAGCCTCCGTAACACACAATGGTTTTTACCAAGCAGACAATGTTAACAGGTTATGTTTGAGTAAAAAATTCATTGCATTAATAACTTATACATTCTATTATAAGGGGAATATAAATTATATAAATTAAATTATATATGGATATAAATAATCCATCAATAAATTACGTCACACGTAAGGGGGGAGGGGGGGGGGGTCGACGAACTACGACATTAGAACAATATTTTGTAGAATTTGTATAGACAAACTGGTGAAGGGGGGGTTGTTAAAATTATGAATTTTGTGTGCCGTACTTGATGGACGGCCCTTAATTGGTAAAGTACAATTTACATACTGTACAATTTGTGTACATTTTTATTCATATAGGAATTATGCCTTTTGAGAGTAAGTAAGAATAAAGCAATTTGCATTTGAAGATGCATCATTTTATATTTACTTTCATATCAGAATGAATAAGATCTACATCCACAAACCCCGCCCCTAAAAGGTACCCCAAGACCCCAAATAAACATTGTCTCTCAAAGTCCCTCCTACAGATAAGTGAACCGAAAACATTTATGAGTAATTGTCAACCAATTGTATTTACATCAAAAATTTCAAACAACTTCATAGAAAACAACAAAGGTGTTTTTTTTTACTCATTTTAATGGATAATAGTACTGAACCCTTCTTATGCAAGTTCGATTGGCACTTGCCAAGTTTTATTGTGTTAAAGTCACCTATGGGAAGCTATATCATATGTGGGTACCGTAGGCTATAATTTACGAAGGCAAAGTCGTGGAACAACCAGCTTTAATATATATACAGATTTCGGAATCTGATTAACTATTGTATACAGTAAAATAACAGTAAAAACTTTTAGAAACAATCTGAATAATACATTATACATATTATTTACATAAACAGCATTTAGAAAGTACTTATTCATTGAAAACTTTTTACCTTTTAGTGCTTTATCAATAATTTCACATGCAATCACCATGAACTTCCAGCATTTTTCACATACTTTGGCTTCCTTGCAACAAGTCCGTACCTCATCATAATCTGTGAGATCAATGTCAAATACGAGCTCTCTAGCCAAAACCACTGAATCATGTCTAGCTATTGAAGGCCTAAAGTAACATAAATTACATTAATAATATGCTATTTAGGTTTTTCTTTATTAGTATTATATTATGTAGATTAATGAAAATAAATACTAATATAAATACTTACTTAGTGTTATACACTGCACCTATATCCAATTTATGTGGACATTTCTTTTGAAACAAAGTCTGTAGCTCTTTTTGATCACTTATTGACAAATAACGTAAATAAACATCATCAGCTAGAGTAAAAGACAATTCCCTATTTGAAAGTGGCTGGGGACTACATCCACAACAAAGCCATCTACAAAATATATTTTGAGGAAAATATTTCGTGTAATACAGTGGCAGCATATCAGATAACAAGTTTTCATCGTAATGACCTACCTGAAATATAAAAAACCAGGTGAAGGTAACAAAATGTTTTTGATCAATACACAATTAACAAAAATTTCTCACTCACCATTTTATTCTTATAAATCAAGCGTTTATTTTAAATAGGAATAATCTATAGTAAAAAAAAACTAAAAACGGAGAATTAAAAAGCTGTTTAACCTCTATTCCAATTTGATTATAAAATTACCTAATAGAGAAATTTGTTACTAGAAATAGTTAGACATTCATAACTAAACAAATCAAGTATAAATCTTTTTAGCCAAATATTAAACGTTTCTTCTACCACTATCACCACGGAGTAAATCAAGAGTAAATATTCACAAAACCGCCAAAATTATGTGTCAATATCATAATGGTGTGCGAAATCGATTACCATTAATTGATTAATCGATTTCTCAAATAATTAGTTACTATTGATTGTGATTTCCTAATCAACGATTAACCATCGATTATTTCTTAAAACGTTAGCAATGGGAATAGTTTAAAACATTAGTATAGTACTTACTTACTTTACTTCGATGGCTCAGCAACCCATAGCGGATCGTGAGTGTGAATATTATTAGTAGATATTCTATTACTTATTATGGCAACCCTGGAATACTCCCACGAACAAATAGGTAACTTTACTCTTTGGTCGGGAAACTCCTGTTGAATGAATGAACGGATCTTACAGTTTTATTTTTACAAATACAAATTAACTGTTTCTTACTAAATGCAAGTATACACTGTACATACCTATAGTAAACAATATCTTTTACATTTTTGTCTGTCTGTTTATTCCGGTTAAACTCTGAAACGGTTCGACCAATTTTGACGGGACTTTCACTGGCAGATAGCTTTTGTAATAAGGAATAACTAAGGCTACTTTCCACGCGGACGAAATCGCGAGTACAACTATTTTAATTCTATAAAATTTTGTATGCACAATGCTGGTATAGTAAAAATTGTCTTAAAATTGATTTTTAACTATTTTTCATTAACTTGGATGGCTTTAATATACGGTGGGATTAATCTGAAATTATTAGTAAACTTATAGGGTAAAAATATTTAATAATCAATGACATGAATTGATTATTATCGATTATAAATTGATTACGAGTAATACTTTAATCGATTTATTGATTAGTATAATAATCGAATCAGACATCATTATATCAAACTGTCATTATCATTGGTGCCTAGTAGAGGTGGTTAAACAATGAGTTTAATAACAAGAGAAGCAATTCCATACAAAAGACGCGCTAAAAAGCGTAGCACTTTTCCGAAATCAGGACGTAGCTTTGCAAATAATATTTATACTATATAATATAAATAGGTTTATTATATTTGTCTCTCACATATCTACGATTAAACCTTAAATTAAACAAAGACAATGTGCGAACGACAGAATGAACGGAAAAATGGGCATTAATTTTTTTTTTTTTTTTTTTTTAATAATTATTTATTCATAGCCATGGATACAAGTCCTTCAGCCAATACATTTTATAAATTTAACATTTGTAGAATAGCTATATGCCTACATATTTATATATTTTCTATAGTATTACAAATGTATTTAAACAATGGAAAAAAATAATCTGGATTTGCTAAAAAGTCTATTATGCGGCGGGGAACACTTATTTCACTAGTACTGTCATTGATAACTTCGGTAACGTCATCCGCGAGCACTAACCGTTGTAAATTAAATGAAGGACATCTAAGTATTAGATGATCTAAATCGGCTTTATCTTGATTACAGTGAGAACATCTGCTATTGTGGATTATGTTCAGTCTATGCAAGTGTGCTGGTGTTAGACAATGTCCCAATCGCATCCTTGATATAGTAGTTATGAATCTCCTGTCGCTGTATGCAAAGGTATGGTACCATGGTTTGGTAGGAAATTCCTTTTGCACTTCTTTATACCATTTCCCCTTCGTTTCAAGCGTAATGTTCCAATATTGCTTCCATAGGTCCATTGCCATGGTTTGGAAGAAATTATAATAATCAGTAAAAGGTAGGTATAATGTCTCTGAATGATCTTCATCATGGTCTGAGCGCGTAATCATATCAACCATTTCATTTCCCCTTATGCCACTGTGTGAGGGCACCCACAAAAATTCTACATTAACATTCTTACTATCTAATTCTATTATTATATTTAAAATTTCATACAAAATATAGTTTAATTTAAACGACTTATTATTATTTACATTTGAAAGGGCAATTAAAACACTCTTTGAGTCAGATATTATCAAAATATTGTTTACACTATTTACAAGATTATTTATATAATGTAATCCACAGTATATAGCATAGCTTTCTGCAGTAAAAATGCTACTTGAATTATTTAATTTGATACATTTCTTATAATTTGTTTGTGGATCAAAATAAGCTGCTTTGACACTTTCATTTGCCTTAGAGCCATCTGTATAAATGTCATAATAATTATTTTTAGTATTTTTAAACTCTAAAAACTCTATTGCACAATGTACATCATCAAGATGAAATCTTTTTGAACATTTAATTTTACCTTGATAGGGATATTTATAAATAGGCCATATATCAAATTTTTTGATGTTTCTACAATTATTCCTAACATATGTAAAAATTGTTGTCATTTCAGGAAATGGACCATGGACGAGTGCAGAAGCTGAGATAACAGTAGATGGAATGGTGTGGGATATTTCGGATGGTGGGGTGAGTTGCTTAATCAAGTTACTATTATTTGAAGCTAGAACTTTTAAATTGAATCTCTCAGCTAACTGCAGCCTGCGTAAGGTTAAAGGAGGTATACATGTTTCAATCTCTAATGAATTAATTGGTGTAGACCTCATTGCTCCACTAATTAATCTCAATCCCATATTCTGAATAACATCCAATTTTTTTAAAAGAGTGCTACTGGCATTCATGTATGCTACACTGCTGTAATCAAAATGGCTTCTTACTATACTTTTGTACAGCATACTCATTATTTTGGGGTCAGATCCCCAGAATGTGCCTGCCAAATGTCGTAGAATATTAATACCTCCTAAAGCATTTTTACTAATGTGCTTAATGTGTTCCTCAAATTTTAACTTATTGTCAATAATAACTCCTAAAAATTTATGGCACTTTACAATAGGAATATGGATATTGTTGTAAACTATTTTTGTATTTGTTTGAGCACATGGATTTTTACTAAAAATTATTACAGAACTCTTTTGTGGACTTATGTCTAATTTAAGTTTATTGTTATAGTAGGTATATAATTGATTTAAAGCACTGTTTATATTACTTTGTGCCACTTCTATGTTTTGATTTATGCTGTACAAAAGAATATCATCAGCAAATTGCAATATTTTAATCAAAGTTGTGTCAATATATTTTAATATTTGGGAAGTATATAAATTGTATAGCAAAGGAGATAATGTTGCGCCCTGCATAGTACCTTTATTTATAATTTTAGGGCCATGCATTTTATTATTATATCTAACAAATACTGTCCGATTATTAAGAAATTTATAAAGCCATTTCAAATTCTGTGCTGTTAAGCCTATTTCATGAAGTACTTCAATTAATTTTTCTATATTTATATTATCAAAGGCACCCTTAACATCTAGAAAGACACATATCATATTAGAATGACTCAGTTGCACTTTTTTAATATCAGATATTAAAGATACAAAGCTTTCAGAACAACTTTTGCCTTTTCTGAAGCCAAACTGTATAGGTGGAATTAAGTGATTTGATTCAGCAAAGTAATCTAAACGTGACTTTAACATGTTCTCAAATATTTTACCCAGACAAGATGATAAAGAGATAGGCCTGTATGAGGATGCTATATTTTCTTGTTTGCTAGGTTTTAGTATTGGAATGACACACTGGGTTTTCCAGGATTCAGGTATAGCTAGATAGTCCCAAAGTTTGTTATAAATGTTGAGCAATGTTAGTTGTGCATTCAAATGTAATTTTTTAATTAAAAAATAAGGAATATTGTCTATACCTGGTGTAGTGTCTTTTCTGTTTTTCAGTGAAGTATGCAACTCTTCTATTGTAAAGTGGTTATTGAGAAACATATTTACTCTATTTTCTGTAGCTGTTTCAAAGAACTTGTTTATTTTATCCTCATATATTTGTGTAGAATCAGATAAATTATTTAAAAATGTTGGGATCCATTCATCATTAAAATTTCGATTTCGATTACTACTTCCTATCCGTTTAAATTTTTTAATGTATCCCCATATTCTAGATACTGGTGTTAACCTATTAAAACTACCTACTAATTTATGCCAAGATTCTTTGCATTCATTTTTCAATATTTTTTTCTTAAGAGCATCAATTTTTTTATAATGTATCCAATTTTCTATAGTAGATGTAGAACGGTATGCTTTTAATGCTTGTTTTGATTGATTAACAGCATCAGTACATTTTTGATTCCACCAAGGGACTGGTTTTCTCAAGGCTAATGTGTTTGATTTTCTTTTGCGTTTTGGAATGGTTTTATCCCGCAAATCATTTAAAATGTCAATCAAATTATTATACATATTAAGAGGACTCTCATTGCTACAATCTATTTGAGAAAAAGAAGTTTCAGATAGGGAGTAGTATTCATTCCAGTTTGCTTTATTATAAATATATTTCTCTTCTACAGGAGTCACATCATATGAAGAAGGCTGAACATTCACGTCGAGCAACGTCGGGAGGTGATAGCTACCCAATGGATCATTGTGTACATACCATTCACATAAATGAGCAACCTGAGAACTAACAAGAGCCAAGTCTATTGCTGAAGCTTGCTTATTGGGATATGGAATTGTTGTTGGTGTACCATCATTTATAATGCACAAATCACAATCATCTATTATATTGTATAATGACCTGCCTCTATTATTATCGCTGTGGCATCCAAAAGCTACGTGATGCGCATTGAAATCTCCCATAATTATGCTTGGTTTAGGTATGGAGTTAATGAGTGTTTTTAATTTATTACAGTCAAATCGATTATTATTATTACTTGGTGGGCAATATATACAAAGTATAGTTATGGGACCAGATTTCGTCTCCAATAAAATACATATGTTCTGGATGGATTCATGAAATACTGTATTAATAACACTGTACTTCAGTCCATGTTTAATTAACATACCTACCCCATTATGAGAATTTTGAGAGATCTTGTGAATGAAATTGTATGATGGAAAATGTGGGATTTTACTATTAGATTTGAGCCATGTCTCATTAAGTAAGCAGATATCTATGTTTTTGTCATTTAATAAATTTTGTAATAAGGCTTTTTTGTTGTGTAAGCTTTGTATATTATATTGAAGCAAATGTAAATACTTATCCATTAAATTAAATGTGATAAAAATGTCTCTCTGATTTTCTTAGAATTTAAAGGTGTTTTTTCCTTTT